AGAGAGAGAGAGAGACTGAAGGCATCCACTGGAATGGGGGTGGGTGGAGTGGGAGTTATTTGGGTCTAGGGGTTTGTGTGACGCGTGAAGAGGAAATTGTCAGATGGCAGAGGATGATATGACACATGAGTGAAGAGAGGATGATGATGCTGTTGCGGGGGTGGAGAGAGAGAGGATGACAGGGAGGGAAAAGAGACAGAGGGATAAAAATAGATAAATATTGTCTATGTGAGAGAGATAGAAATAGATAGACAGACAGACACAAAGCCAGGCACACAGACAGACAAGAAGATATACAGAAAGAATGAGAAAGTAATAAGAAGATTCAAGAGGGTGAAAAAAATGAGAGAGAGAGAGAGAGAGAGAGAGAGAGAGAGAATGAGAATGAGAGAGAGAAGAGGGTAGGAGGAAAGAAGCATCATTTGAGAGATACATCAGGATTGAGGGGAAAAACGTTTTTAACACCTATCTTTAGCCTAATCAGTGCCAGTTAGACAGGCGATCTGTAGAACTCGGCAAGCCGGGCCAATATCCGATCTTGCCTCTTTATTTCTTTCCTTGCCACTGTCTTTTCTTTATTTCTCTCTCTCTCTCTCTCTCTCTCTCTCTCTCTCTCTCTCTCTCTCTCTCTCTCTCGCTTTTGCTAACGGTTTCGCTCTTTCTATCTTTCTCACTCTTCCTCTCTATTCTTTCTCTCTCTCTTTTTCTTCCTTTCTTTCCTTCTTTCCTTCTTTCTTTCTTTCTTTCTTTCTTTCTTTCTTTCTTTCTTTCTTTCTTTCTTGCTTGCTTGCTTGTTTGCTTGCTTTCTTTTTTTTCTTTTTTTCTTTTTTTTTCTTTCTCTGTTTTGCTGTTTGTTTCTTTCTCTGACACTTTCCTTCTGCCTGTCTTTTTTTGGTGTCTTTTTTCTCTTTTATTCTGTATTAGTATGTGTCTTTATCTCTATCGCGTATTAGTATGTGTCTATATCTCTATCGCGTATTAGTATGTGTCTATATCTCTATCGCGTATTAGTATGTGTCTATATCTCTATCGCGTATTAGTATGTGTCTATATCTCTATTGCGACGCGGTGGAATCAGGCGCTCATCAATTTCTGGGCATGTGGAGTTTTTATCAACATCTGAAAGCGGATTTATTTGTCTCTGCTTCCTATGAAATAAATATCCACCTATCTTGAATAGAACACAGTTTGTGGCGTCGGTGGCCTAGTGGTTAGGCTCTCGGACTCGCAACCGTAAGGTCGTGGGTTCGAATCCCGTCAGGGGCCCGACGTTGTGTCCTTGGGAAAGGCACTTTGCACAAATTTTCCTCACTTCACCCAGGTGGAAATGGGTACCCAGCTATAGACGGTGAAAGATCTTGTCAGTTTGATAGTGTTTGAGCGCGTGAAATCCGCAGCTTGCACTGTATGCTTCCGCGGAAGCTGAAAATGTTTCTGAGTGTTCTCAGAGGGTCTGCTGGGGTAATGATAGTTGTAAAGCGCATAGAGCAAGCTCTTGAGCATGGATATGCGCTATAAAAATGCAATTATTATTATTATTATTATTATTATTATTATTATTATTATTATTATTATTATTATTATTATTATTATTATTATTATTATTAACTCAAGATATTTTGCGATTGAAGGAAAAATTGTTGTTATGTGACGTTCTCTCTGAGGGTGATTACAACGTGTCTGTGGTAGGTCCTGCTTATTTGTCATTTCCTCTGTTGTTTCTGTCTGTCGTGTCTGTGCCTGTCTTACTTTCTCCCAGTGCTAAACAGCCAGGATTACTTTGATGCTTTTTATGACCATCATAATCAATAATTTATTTTAAAAGGCACCAGCAAGCCATGTCCAGGTGCTGTTTTAACCTTGATGCTTTTCTCAAGCAAACAAACAAATAAACTAACAAACAAACAAACAAACAAAATTGGGTTCAAATTGGCAAATAAATCAATCAGTTGGCGGGAGCTCTGATGTTTTTTGGGGGGTTTTTTCTTCTTATTTCCTATCAAACTTCTGTCTTTGTTATCTCTCCTCGTTCATTTTGTGTTTTTTACTCATTGTCACACCTGTAATCTGTCGCTCACTAAAACAAACAAATAAACAAACATGCAAATTATTCTTCATTTCACCCGGCCTGTACGTTATTTCGCGGGAAACATGTACATGAGATAATCAATGCCACAACACTAGGCAACTTTTAACCTTATCTGTACGCCCTGGGGTCATTTTTGCACCCCCCCCCCCCCCCCCCCACTGGATTGTATTCTTCACATTTTTAATACTTTTAGTACGAAGATCTCTTTGAAACTTTCAGTAATTTTCAAAAAATCGTTTTGATAGACTGCTATGCAAAATGTACGGATCGGATTAACGACTTTATCTGTCCTCCTTCTTTTTTGTGTTTTGTTACTCTCTTGTAACCAAAACTCAAGGCTTATATAATTATGCTCTAATTTTGCTTCAAGTGCCGTTAAACCCTCACTGAAAAAATTATTTAGAAAACACTGGCTGTTATGATGACTTTATTCTTCTCTTTTTAAAATTCAGGGCCCTCAGGAATTTGTTGTTATTCATTGTGCTATTAGTTATCCAAGTGTTTAGGCTGTTAATAGATCTTGTTCGTCGTCGTTCGTAAATTTTCTTCCGTTGAATATGTCCTGTCATAGCTAATTAATAGCTTCAATTCGCTTTTTCTTTACACATGCCCCATAAATTTCATCTGTCGGAAACACACAATAAAAAAAGTTCATCATTGGCCCTGGGAGGCAGGGGTCGAAGCAGCACGCCTCCCACATTATGTAGAGTGTGTCGTTAGTGTGTGAAACAGTGAATTACTATCATTTGGAAGGCGTGTTGACAAAATGAGTTACTTCTTACAATCCAAGAATGAACATATTGGCCGAAAATTGACACTGAGGTCAGATTTATAGATTTTAGATTGATGTTATTTTGTTTAAATTTACCATGTCTTTTATTATTCCATACTTAAACATTGTACAAACTCCACCTATAAAGTTGATGAAGTATCAATTTCCACAAGGCTAAAATCAGAGAAGTAACTCATTTCGTTAGCACACCTAACAATTTTATTCACTGCGTTTTCGCTGTGTAACTGCGGGTGGTTGGAGGAAGATACTCATTGGATCTATTCTTTACTCTCCGCGCCTCAGTATTTAATATACTTTTTTACAAAGGTGCTTTATGCCTCTGCCGACCTAGTTTAGTTTTTTCTAGTGGGCTGCTTCAAGTCTGCTTTTCAGGGCCAATCCATGCTCTTCAAATAAAGACTAAAATACTCTATAGAAATTCTCACCACACAGGAATCGATCCTAGGGCTTCTGCGTACACTGATGAAGCTCCTAACAGACTCACCGCTAAAACCGACCTGTCTAAAGTGGTTAGGCTTCCGGACTCGTAATCGTAAGGTTGCGGGTTCGAGTGTCCAAGCCGCGGGCCCGACGTTGTGTCCTTGGGAAAGGCACTTTACTGTTGAATTTTCCCCACTTCACACAGGTGGGAATGGGTACCCGGCCATAGACAGCGAAAGTTCTTTTCAGTATGTCAGAGTTTAAGCGCCTATAAATGGCCGCTTGCACTGTATGCTTCCCAGGAAGTTTATTCCAAACTTCAAAGCATGACAATTATTATAGCGTCGATGCGATTCTCTTTACTGAATTAACTCATATGTTAAACCCGTAACATTTTGCTTATGGTTGGCTGCAGAGCGTCACTGTTACGTCCTACTCCTTTTCTTTTCCTTTGTTTCACTACAGGCCTGTTATGTCTTACATTTATTCAAACAATATCTTAGTGGGCGGTTGGCGGGCGCTGTGGTGTGGTTTTCTTCTTCTTTCCTATCAAACATCTAACGTCCTTCTCTCCCCTTCTTCTTTCTTATGTTTGCTACTCTCTTGTAACACCTCTAATCTTCTGGCGCTCATATGACCTTATGCAGTTGCGAGCTCCGTAAAATCTCTACTAAAAATAAAAATAAAAATAAAGACAGTATTATCTTATTTGCATTTAACATAATTTCTCCACCTTTTTTTTCTTCTTTCTTTAGTTTCACATCTGGTCGGCGTGCCTCTGACGATAGCGTTTGACGTAATTGTGACGTCACCAGGATCGGAGGCCGAGGAGTACCATGGGTTTGGATTACGTCATTCGCCTGCTGGCCCAGTGTCACGTGGTGTTGGTGCTGATGACGCGATTGGCTGGGGCTCAGGAGCGACCTATAATTGAGACAGACAAGGGGACGGTGCAAGGTTAGTAGGGCTCGGTGTGCTCCCCTTCAAAACTCTAATAGGGGGTGCTCACTAGCGCAATCGGGACGGGTCGTGTCGGGTCGGGCCGGGTCCATTTGGGGTTCAAGGCTCAGCTTAGCCCAACCTTTTTTTCCGCGGGTAAGAACATTGCACCAATTTTCCAATTTGTTTTAGCCCTATCGGAGTGAGATGTTAAATTTAGCAATACCACCTCTAAGATAACTTTACATGGTTGCAAATGTCATTAGATTTGCCATACAATGTCGCACATTTTTAAAAACACAGCAATGAATTGTTCATGAATTTACCTCTTTTCATCCCCTAGGCGTGACTGTGTTCGCTGACGGCAAGAAAGTGGACGCCTTCTACGGTATACCATTCGCTAAACCCCCGCTCGGAGATCTCAGGTTCAAACCTCCAGCCCAGCTAGACAGCTGGGAAGGGGTACTGGACGCTAGCCGCCTGCCCAACTCGTGCATGCAGGGATTTGACAGAACCTTCGGGAACTTCACGGGCTCCAACATGTGGAATCCAAATACGCCAGTGAGCGAGGACTGTCTTTATCTGAACGTGTGGGTCCCGCGCACTAACCCACCTTACAAGGACAAGTCAGTGATCGTGTGGGTGTACGGTGGAGGCTTCTACAGCGGCTCTTCTACGTTAGATATCTATGATGCACGCTATCTGGCGGCGGAGAATGACGTAGTCGTGGTGTCCATGCAGTACCGCGTGGGGGCGCTGGGTTTCCTCACTCTCAACACACCGGAAGCCCCAGGTAACGCCGGACTTTGGGATCAGCGTATGGCCTTAGAGTGGGTCAACAGGAACATCCACAAGTTCAGCGGGAACACTCGTGACGTCACGCTTATGGGGGAGAGCGCTGGTGCATGCTCAGTGGGGCTGTTCCTCATCTGTGATCTGTGTCGCGGATACTTCCATAAGGCCATCCTTCAGAGCGGAAGTCCGGCTGCTGACTGGACAGCTCTGCCTAAAGAGGAGATGTGGCGGCGATCTGAGTCACTGGCTAGTCACTACAACTGTAACAAACCCGGTGACCCCGACTACGTGATTCGATGTCTCCGACAGGTCAACGCTACAGAGTTCCCGATCCGTGAACCTTACATGACTCACGGGATCATGCAGTTCGCCTTCGTCCCCGTCATCGACGGAATCTTCATACGCCAAGACCCGCAAGAGATGCTGAGACTCGGGAGATTCAAAAAGGTTCCTCTTCTTCTGGGCAGTGTGGAAAACGAGTCTACGTTCTTTATCATCTACATCAACTCAGAAATATTCCGGCTCGACACTGACAGCCCACTCACCGCACAAGACTACCGAAACTTGATGACGCAACAAGCCTTCAAGTTCTACCCATACTACCCTCACAAACTCAACGACTTCGGGATAGAGGCCGTCATGTTTCACTATCGGAACTGGATCAACCCTGACGACGGGATAGAGAACAGGAAAAGTTTTGACCGCGCTGTCAGCGACAACTACTTCGTGTGTAGCGTCAACCGTTTGGCCCGAGCCTACGCCCGCGAGGGGGCGCCAGTCTACTACTACTGGTTCAACCAGCGCTGGTCAGCCAACCCGTGGCCGGAGTGGATGGGGACGCTGCACGCAGACGAGATTTGGTTCACGTTCGGACATCCACTCAACCGAACACATTCCTTCACCGAGGCCGAGCGAGAACTCAGCAAGAAAATAATGAAATACTTTACAAACTTTGCCAAAACTGGGTAAGTACCTTTTAGGGCATTTTTTTCCCAACTCGTCTATCCATGCTTAAACTAGAGAATGTATATGGTCGCTTTTAGCACAAGGGGGCTATCCTGAAAAATGCTATTTTGAGAAAATCGGAGGCAAAGTTTTTGCTCCTTGTTCAGTTTTCTTTAAAAAAACAGGAGACTTTTCTTTATATTCAAACCAATAATATACACTCCCATAAAAACCAAACTTCTCCTGTATGTAGAGCAAAGCCCCTTTTTGGTGTACGTCAAGATTCCTGGAAACCCCCGAAATCTTGTTTAGCCCGCTTGTCCTTAAAAGCGACCATACATCAACAGACAAATGATGAGAATAAATGTAAACATATACATGAATACACGTTAATCAAATGAATAAATAAATGTATTAATAAACGAAAAAAAGAATAACTATAATGAATCAAGTATACCGATAAAAACACTCGTAAATAATTGTGTGTCAGTAATTGTTATGTAAGGCTGTGTTCTTTCTGTCATTCTTCCTTCATTACTAGTCAAACCACAAGGTTAAGCCTACTCTCAGGTTATTATCTTTGTTTTCAGTTGTACGTTAAATTTTGGAATATTATTTATATTTTAAAGCCATAGTTTGGATATTTCGATCTTTTAATTCAGGTCGATAATGTGGATGTCTCTATAAAAGGATCATCGCTAGTGTATCTCTTTGCTTTTATTTGAAGGCCATCGTTTTAAAATGTGTATAGTTTTTAATTATTAACGGGCATCGTTTAGATTTATATTTCTACTCTTTCAACTGAGGGCCATAGGTTGGCATAGATTTCAATGATTTCAATAGAGGGAAATAGTTTTAATATTTTTATACTTTGAATTGGTCGCTTTTAAGCACTGGGGGGCTATCCCGATTAATGATGTTTTGAGAAAATCAAAGATAAAGTTTTTGGATACTTATTCAGTCTCATTAAAAATGCAGGGAGAGTTTTCTCTATAACCAAATATATACACCAATAAAACCAAACTTCGCCTATTGGTAGGGCAATGCCCACTTTTGGTGCAGGTCAAGATTTCTGGAAACCCCCGAAACCTGGGTTAGCCCGCTTGTCCTTAAAAGCGACCACATTTCAAAATGGTGTATGGCAGAGTCTTATACCCAGTGCCCTCTGCATAATCAGTTCGGTTCGGCTGGGTTTGGTATGTGGGGCTAGCCAGACTGAGAGCGCAAAGCGACCATCGTGGCATTAACCGATCGCCCGACTCGCAGCCTAAAAAATTAACGCGTTAAATCTCAAGGTTACGAGTCGGGCAATCGGTTTGTACTAGAGATCCGATCCGCCAATGGGCACTCGCTTTTTTGTCGTTGGGGCTAACAAGATTTTCCTCCATGGAGGTAAAAAAAATGGGAGTGTATACAGACCGGGAACAAAGTCACAAAGTATACAGACCCGGTAGGGGAACTCTTTTGTGATTTCGGAAAGTTTCAGCGCCCTCTTGGCTCAGGGAAGACCTAGATCTAGGTTCTTATAGATCTATGGCCTAGGTCTAGATCTAGACAGACAGGCATGAATCATTGATCTAGTTTCGAGGCTAACCTAGACCTAGATCTAACTGAAGATTGCGGATGTCTTTTCGGTGAACGATCGTTTTTCCTCCGTTTCAGAGTTGGAGGAATCACTATTTAAAGAAAAGAACAAGGCATAATTTCAATCGAGCAGTGACCCTCTCTATTTCTCTGCCTCTCTCTCTCTCCTCTGTGTATCGCTCGCCTTCTCTTTTTATTTGATTTGTCTCTGTCTTTCTCTCTCCCCACATATTTCCCACTCTATCTTTCTCTTGTTCCCTCCTGCCAACTGGGGCATGTCCTATACATTTTGCTAGCACTTCTCTCTCTTTCTCTCTCTCTCTCTTTCTCTCTCTCTCTCTCTCTCTCTCTCTCTCTCTCTCTCTCTCTCTCTCTCTCTCTGACACACACACACACACACACACACACACACACACACACACACACACACACACACACACACACACACACAACACAACACAACACACACACACAAGCACACTACCGGGTCTGGGCTCTGAAACTTTCCGAAATCGCAAAAGAGTTCCCCTACCGGGTCTGTATGCTTCGTGACTTTGTTCCCGGTTACCGGGTCTGTATACACTTCGAAAAAAAAAACCCAGATATCGTGGTGGCACAAACCGAACGAAGCCGACCGTAACCTTCAAGAACAAAAGCGTTTGTTTTCAAGGTTGTGAGTCCGACGATTTGAGGCAGAGGTCTGTAATTTAGTTTTAGTAGAGGTTTTATGGCACTCGCAACTGCATAAGGTCAGAAAATTAGAGGTGTTACAAGAGAGTAATAAACACAAAAAGAAGAAGGGGTGACAAGGATGATAGATGTTTCATAGGAAAGAAGAAGCAAACAACACCAGAGCACCCGCCAACCACCCACTAGGCAGACGTCTGTAATTTGTAGTGTGCACTGAAGCTGCCAGAATCTGAACCGAACCGTACGGAACCTCCAATGAACAACGCCTATTACACTAAGCAGCCAGTTCGTAACTGAACAGAACGGAACAACTTGTCTCTCATCGGTCCTTTCGGAGACGGACGTTAAACAAGGAGGCCCTGCCTCTTAATAAATAACCTAATAGTGTTGAAAGGGGCGTTAAACCCATACCATTTTACCATGTTTTTTTCTCTCCCCCCACCCCCCCCACCCACCCCCCTCCTGTCCCTTCCCAGAGACCCCAACAAGGCACCAGGAGAGGTTTCTAGCATGGAGTGGCCACTGTTTCAGGAGAACGAACAGTTGTATCTGAACCTGAGCACCGACTCGCTGGTCAACGGGCCCATCTGGGGCGCCGGTCCCAGAGCCCAGGACTGCGCCTTTTGGGATATGTACATGCCCAAACTGGTCGCTGAAACTTGTAAGTACTCGTAGATGTGGGGGTGGATAACTTCTTTTCTTTCCTGATTGAATCGACCCCGTCGTTCTTTTCCCCTCCCTCAATTATAAGTTCCGTCTCCCTGTCTTTATGTCTCTGTCACTACCTGTCAATCTGTCTTTTAAAAAAAATATGATATATTAATGATCCTGAATGTGTCAAAGTGTTTCTCACTACCTAAAGAGTGTTTGTTATTTCTAGTTGTTGTTTTTTTTTTGTTTTGTTTTTTGTAATTATTAATATTTATCAATAGGAGACAACATCCTACAAAACTGCAAAAACGGAACAATAGAACAATTATAATTTTTAAAAGGCAACCAAAAACATCAAAGAAATGCGACCCAAATAGCACAATAATCAATATTAAAATTTGTAATACTCCAAAATAAAACTTTTATTGAAAACAGTACAGAAGACCGTCCCCTCACAATCCCACAACCGCATTGTTTGGGGGGGAGGGGGGGG